GCCCGCGCTCGCGATCCCGCCCACTCGGCCCCCATTCGCAGCCGCCGATCTAGGGAGGAGGTGCCGCGCTCCTATTGGCCAGCGCCACTCGTCCATCCCGCACTCGCCATGGTGACCACGTTGGGTCCCCCGGGAGAGTTCCAAATTCCGCCCCCGCCCGTCGCCCCCTCCGGTCGGGCCCGGCCCGTTGCATTCCCAGGGCACACCCCCACCGTCTCCTCAGTCTCTCTTCACCCGAAGCCCGGGGCCCCAGGAGGTGTGGAGGAGCCCAGGGAGGGAGCTAGAAAGTTCTGCTCTGAGTTTGGGGGTTGCTGCAGACGCGGGGCCCCCAAGGCTCCCCAGTCCTCCAGCCCGCCCCCAACTTAACCCCTTCGCTCCCGCCGAAAGTTCGCGGACCGGAGGGAGTTCCCGGGACGCGCCTGGCTCTCAGTCCCCACGCGCGGCCGCCCAGCTCACCTCTGCCCGGGACCCGCGGGCTGCGGACGTCCGACCCACCGCGGCTGGGCGGAGCGGGCACGGTGCTGGCTGCGGCGGCCGCCGGGAGGGCGGAGGAAGGGCCGCGGAGTCTCCTCCTCCCTCCCGGGGGGAGGAGAGGGAGGGGAGACGACGGGGCGGGGGTGACGGGGTCCGCGGCGCGAGCGCCAACTGTGGCCCTGCTGTGACCCCGGCTCACCGAGTTGCTGGGATGGGGGCCACCTGCCTAACTTCAAGGCCAGGGTCGCGGGCTGGGCCGGCAGGCTCTGTTGGAGAGCAGGCCGGACCCCAGCAGTGGCCCCACCCCGCGTAGGGGGACGGTAGGCAGGGTCTGGGGACCCTGCGAGGCTCGGCTTTCCTGGCTCAGGTTTCCTGAGCACCAACGACGCACTACGCGCACTGCAGCAGAAGCGGGTGCCGCCTGTCCCGGGCGCAACACGTGGAAGGTGCTTACTGAGTGTTCACTTTTGTTACCTGGATTCTTCCTAGTGCCACCTCTGCCACCGAGTGGCAGTCTTGGCTCCTCATCGGGCTTCAAACCCGTTGCGGTCTATTCCGACTCATAGAGACCCTTTAGGGCAGAGTAGAACTGTCCACGGGGTTTCCAAGGCTGTAATCTTTAGGAAAAGGGAGTCCTGGTGGCGCAGTGGTTAAAGCGCTCGGCCGCCGACCAAACGTCTGGCATTGTTCAACAGACAGAGAAAGATGTGGCAGTCCGCTTCTGTAAAGATTTACAGCCTTGGAAACCCTATGGGGGTAATTCTACTGTCTATAGGGTCTCTGTGAGTCAGAATCGACTCGTGGGCAGTGGGTTTGGTTTTCTGGAATCTTTACGGAAGCAGATTGCCACATCTTTCTTCTGCGGAGCCGCTGGTGGGTTCTAACGACCAGCCGGTTAGCAGTCAAGCGTTTTATCCATTGCGCCGCCAAGGCTTCTTCACCGGACATCAGTTTGGCCTTTTGTACAATAAAAGATGGACTAAACTCACCTCACATCCGTTGAGAAGTGAGGCGGGGCACTGGGCCTACTCTGTGGAGACTTTTCTCCCGTTTGCGGTGATGCTTTCTGCTCTCTGCGGGCCGGAGGGGCGCGCCCTCCAGTGCACCCAGAGGCTTTGGAGCTTCCCCATAGTTGGCGGGGGAGGGGTGGGCTCTGGGAGGTCCTCCTCCCAACCCCCGGTACACCGGAAGGCCAGAAGGCCACCCGAGGTGAAGACACATAAAAAGGAGTGAAAATTCACAGAAGTAGTGGAGGAACCCGTTGGATTGGGATTTAACCACGAAAAAGAAACCGAAAATTATGAAAATAAGTTAATTTTAACTTCTGATCAACACGGTTTAGATTATTATTGAAACCACGCACGAAGTAAAATGAACGAAGAGTGAATCGAAAGTTAATTTTTGAGGATTTTTTTTTTTTACTGATGAAGTTGAGTATTTTAGCATCCTTCTTTTCTGAATGGGCTTTTTTTGCAGCAAGAGGTTCCTTCTTGCAAAAATATTTGAGAGCTTCCTCAAATCAAAGACTGCTGTGAATTCTTTGATAGTCAAATATTTCTTTGTAAGCACTTGTCTATGTTCCTTGTCTATGTTCTTGTTCTCTGTGGTCAGCGGCTGCTCTGTTTCTTCAGCATCACTTCCATCAACTTCATGAAATCCCCCTTTTTTGCAATATTTGCAGTTTCACTTGTGAGTTCGTTTGCTTTGGATTGGATCCGCATGGTTGGATAGCATCTGATAATCAGCTAGACAAAGATTTTGGTGGAGATATGTGGTATTTGCGAGGGGACAAATCTGTAAATGTTGCAGGGGCCAGCCTTTGCTTTCTGTGCACCCTTGGATCTGTGAGATTCAGATATTGAGTACTCAGAGAACAAAGGTCCCTTCCCCTAGCATGCTCATTTTAAAGCAGGAAAATAAAGGCTCAGAGAAAGGCTGTGACTTACCCAAGGCCCCATAAATAGTAAATGATGGTAGTGGGCCAAGAACCCAGAGTTCTTTTCCAGAGTTTCTGGAGGTGAGGAAAGGGATAGAAAAGGTGGAAGAGCCTAAACTGATGGTGTACCTAAACTCCAACTATAACCTCATCACAATTGGGTCCTCTTTCTTAAAAGAAGAGTATTACTGTTCTGGGGGCATCTCTTGTGGGAGGAGTGGACGGGAGAACCCACAGACTCATGGAGCCAAGATGGAAGCTGACCCTAGGCTTGACAGTTCATGCAAGTTATCTCAGTTTTACAGCCACCCTATGAGTGTGCTGTTATTATTGCTGCCATCTCATAGTAGGAAAGTGAGGATCAGAGATCAAGTGACAGGCTTAGGGTCACACAACTGGGAGGTCTCAGAGTCCAGACCTGACTGTCTCAATTTTACCATTGTCACGGTTAAGCACGCAACTACTAGCCGAAAGGTTGGTGGTTTGAACCCACCCAGAGGTGCCTTGGAAGAAAGCCCTGGTTTTCTGCTTCTGAAAGGTCACAGCATTGAAAACCCTACAGAGCACTGTTCTGTCTGACACACTTAGTGTCACCATGAGCCAGAATCGACAGCAACTGGTAAAGACGACTTAGCCCAACCAAGGCTTCTCCCGGATGCAACCAGGATTGAGAGAGACTTGAAAAATAATTTTTGTTCATGGTGTGACTTGGTTTATCCCATGTCCTGTCGGGGTCCTACCCACAGTCATCTTGCAGATTGCCACGGTAAGTAGCCCCCACATGGGGAGAACTTCCCTAGGGATGGTGTGTGGCCTTCCCAGGGTGGGGACTGGGAAGGGGCTTGCTCTCCTCCCTGCCTGGGGGACTGAGCAGGAGACTCATGTCTTCTGAAGCTTAGGCATCCAGAATGTTTGTAGGGGAGAAGGAGGCAGGGAAGCCTTCCCAGAGGGATGGAGAGGAACTGGAGGCTCTCCAGGTGCAGCTGGGATGGAGCAGAGAGGAGAGTATGAATATGGCAAGCACATCCAGAATTGGGTTGAAGCAGAAGTTGCGGGAGGCTAGATTATGAAGAGCAGAGAAGTGAAGGGGAGCCACTGCTGGCTTTTGAGCAGGGGAGTGTCTTGGCAGTGAGTTCTAGAATTTGAAGTGCAGGGACAAGTAACCACCCTCCTTCCAACTAAGGCAGGACACAGTGAGGCCCGTACAGATCCTGGCTGGAAAATGGAGGGGCTGCTCAGTGGGCAGGGCCTCCTCCTGGGCCTTGAGAGTGGCTGCCTGGGCTCATATCCAGCGTGAGAAGAAAGACTGGTGTTGTAACCTTAGAGGTGGCCAGGAAGGCTCAGAAAGGAAGAGCCTGGAGGTCAAGGTCTGGGTCATGACCACAGAAAACCAAAACTGAAGGCTGTGCCAGTGTCCCTGCAAAGATCTCACGCTGCAGCTGCAGTAGGAGGCTTGGCTCTGTGGCTGTGGCTCCCCAGAAATCTCTCTGCCTTCCAAAGAGCACTTCCTCTTTCCCTTTCTTGCAGAGGCCACCTGTGCTAGATGCTCAGCTGGGCTTAGGCTGATACTGGAAGGGCCCTGGGGTGGGGGCAGAGAGGAGGGGCCCATGTTGGGGCATGCTTGGGTTTTGCTGCACCCCCATCTCACCCCTGGGGGTGGAAGAGCACATTCTTGAGACAGAGTTTTCCTGGGGCCCAGGTGAGGGAGAACACCCTATCTCCCCTCCACCAACACACATAGACACCACCCCTGTTTTCCTTAGGGTTCCGCACAGGGTGTGGCTCGTGTGGGACAGGCTTGCTGAGACTGCAGGTCCAGGGAGAAGCTGTCCAGTCTCCTTGCCCCACTGTTCTTCTGGCCCTGTCTTCTGAGCTCTGCTCCAAGCTAGACCCTTCCTGAGAGAGTTTTGCTGCTGGCCAGCTGGCTGAGTCACTCTGGGTCAGACCCCTGTCCATCTGTGACATGTGACAGCTTTATCCAGCACTTGCAGTGACTTTGCCGGCATTACCTTGTATAAGCATCATACTACCCCATGGCCTGGAGTCCGAGGGTGGTGCAAATGGTTAATTGCTCAATTACTAGCCGAACGGTTGGTGGTTTGAACCCCCTCAGAGGCGTCTCAGAAATAAGGCCTGGTGATCTGTTTCTGAAAGGTCCCAGCCTTGAAAATCCTATGGAGCAGTTCTACACTGCACACATCGGGTCGCCATGAGTCAGCGATAACTAATAACTACTCCATGAGATGGTACTGTCATTATCTCTATGTTTTACAGAGAGGAAACTGAGGGTCAGAGAGCTTAAGTCACCCGCGAGTGACTTTGGTGGCTCTGGCATTTGAACACAGGCAGCCTGACTCCAGAGTCCCCTGTTTCCTGAAGTCCCTGCCATCATCATCGTTCTTCCCCACTGATTTGTCAGATCAGGCAAGGATCATTCTCCTTGCTCTACAGATGGGGAAGCCGAGACCCAGAGATGACATCTCTTGCCCAACGGCACAGAGCTGAGGTGGGTATGAACCCTGCAGGGGGCTGTGTTGCCCAGTCCTCCTCCCGCTCCCCCACTGACACCAAGCATCCCTGAAGAGGTGCAGCCGCACCCAGGAAGTGCTGCAGGCTCTGAGATGCAGGGGTGAGGCTGGCACAACTCTCAGCTCAGAGGAAGCAAAGAGGCTGAGTGAAAGAAGAAGTGAATGAAGTGGGCGTGCGTGCCCCGGTGGAGAGAGTAGAGCAGAGAAGTGAAGGGGGTGTGTGGCCATAGAGAGAACAGAGTAGAGAAATGACATGCGCATGTGGCCGTGGGTGAGCAGAGCAGAGGCTGCCCCCAGCACAGCGGCTCCAGAGTTCCTGTTCTTCCTGCAGACAGCGGCAGCGCGGCAGCCGAGAGACAGCAGCAGCAGCTTCACAGGTCAGCTCTCTATCCTTACCTGCAGGTCCCCCACGGGCACTGGGCTTCCCCTGCGCAGGCAGGCACAGGCCTGACAACGTCCCAGGAGCAGCAAGCTGAGGACCCATGCTCATGCCCTTCATCAGCGCCACCCCCACCCCGCCGCCGCCCATGATAACTCCAACTCTTAGGGAATGTAGAGTTTATTTTTGAAGGAGATGGTATTGGAAGGTGTGAATTTGAGGTTAAGGAGTAGCTAAGAGATTAGGCTTCGGGTTCAGATCTTAGCTACCTCGTGTGACCTGGAGCAAGTTACTTGACTTTTCTGGACCTCAGTTTCCTCATCCGTAAAATGGGCTAGTCCAGGGACATGCGCCTTGGGCAGGTGGCAGGAGGGTGGACGCTCAGCAAGAAGCCTGGTACAGAGTCTATGCTCGGCAAATCAGGGCAGATGTAATTCCTCCAGAGTGGCCTGGGCTGCAGCCTGGGGACAGCATGTCAGAGGGAAAGGGCCCCTGTGCTGGCTTGGTCACAGGCTCCCTGCTGGGCCTTATTTTCCCTATCTATGAAATGGGCTAAAAGTAATAGCACCTTTGTTATGAATTGAATTGTGTCCCCCCAAAATGTGTGCCAACTTGGCTAGCCCTTGATCCCTAGTATTGTGTGGTTGTCCACCATTTTGTGATCTGATGTGATTATCCTATGTGTCGTAAATCCTAACCTCTATGATGTTAATGAGGCAGGGTTAGAGGCAGTTATGTTAATGAGACAGGACTCAATCTACAGGATTAGGTTGTATCTTAAGTCGATCTCTTTTGAGATATAGAAGAGAGAATCGAGCAGAGAGACAGAGAGACCTCATGCCACCAAGAAAGAAGAACTGGGAATGGGATGCGTCCTTTGGCCCCTAGGGTTCCTGTGCTGAGAAGCTCCTAGACCAGGGGAAGATAGGTGACAAGGTCCTTCCCCCAGAGCCCACACAGACAGAAAGCCTTCCCCGGGAGCTGGTACCCTGAATTCAGACTTCTAGCCTCCTAAACTGTGGAAGAATAGATTTCTGTTTGTTAAAGCCATCCGTTTGTGGTATTTCTGTTACTGCAGCACTAGATAACTAAGACAACCTCTCTCAGGACTTTCCTGTAGAAACCACAGGTGCACTTGTCACCCAGGCCGTGGTGAGATCAGAGGTGGGGGTTCAGGGATGTGGTTGACAAGGGCAGCTGTTTGGTGGGGCAAGTTGGAGGGCCTTTGCTCAGATATATTCCCGGCGGGGCACTTTGAATCAGAGTTCAATTCCCAGGAGTGTGGATTGTGGTAGTGCATAGTTGTTTGAATCTTTCTCCCTGGGAAATGGGTCTTCTTTTACAGATGGGAAAACCAAGGCACAGAGAGGTCAAGTTCTTTGCCCAATGTCATACAGCCCAGGCACTGAATAGCGGAGTTGGTTATCAAGCGCACACCTTCCAAAGGTCCCTGAGTCCCATGTCTCCTCATCTCTCTATTGGTTTAAAATAGGTCTTACTTGTCCACACAGGAACTTAGCTACCCAACCACCTTTAGGGGGTTGCAGCGTGGAGCGGGGAGAGCGCTGGACTTGGAGTCTGAACCTCTTGAGTCCCAGTTGCCCACTGGCCTGCTGGAGAACGTCAAGCAAACTCCTTCTCTTGTGCGGCATTCAGTTTCCCGTGGTCAGCTGGACCTATCTTGGAAGTCAAGTAAGGGAACCCTGTTCCCGGAGGGCCCCAAATAATGACTTGTAGGCTGGGGAATGCGATGGCTAAGTGTGTGGGGTAAGAGTGCATGGTGGCCTCTCTGAGGGTTGGGGAAAGGGATGCTGGAGGTCGCAAACAGAAGAGACGATGGATGTTTGGTCCTGGGAAGGGTGGAAACCACAGCTTCTGTTTGGGGTGCCTGAAGGAGGCATTACTTCTGCTTTGGCCTTGATTTCCCCAGCTAGGTGGTGGGGTCAGGCTCCTCTTCCCTCTGTGCCTTCCTGGAAGCAGTGTGGGCAGAGGGCCTGGGGACCCGGTGTCAGGGCCCAGATCCTGGAGGTCAAATCTACACCCGTCTGGGCCTCAGTTTCACTGCCATATGGTGAGAGGGTAGATAAGATGGCCTGAGGTCCTTTCTGCACTAACTGGTCCTCCAATGATGAACCTCAGCTTTCTCATCTGAGACATTTCATTTTGTGGCTCCCTTTGTCTCCTCAAACCTCTTTTCTGAGGTTCCAAGTGGGTGTTACCTAAGGTAACACGTCAAATAAGTAACCAAATAGTCAAAGAAATAAAAACCGACCTTTCTGACTCCCAAGTTCCTATTCTCTTAGAAAACAAAAAAAAAAATATATATATATAGAATATTATTGTTGTTAGGACAATGATAGAACACTGGGTGGGCGGGGGGAGGAAAGCAATTCCAATATAAAAAATGAAACCATAAAAGTACTAGAAGAAATACAGGAGAATTCCTTCATCACGTTGGAGTGGGGAAGGCCTTTCTAGCTATGCCTCAAAACCCAGAAGCCAAATGAGGAAATACTGATTATCTTAGTCATCTAGTGCTGCTACAACAGAAATACCACAAGTGGATAGCTTTAACAAAGAGAAATTTATTTCCTCACAGTAAAGTAGGCTAAAAGTTCAAATTCAGGGTGTCAGCTCCAGGGGAAGGCTTTCTCTCTCTCAGCCTTCTCATCAGTGTTCCTCTGGACTAGGAGCTTCTCAGCGCAGGGACCCCGGTCCAAAGGACGCGCTCTGCTCCCGGCACTCCTTTCTTTTTTTTTTTTT